TTTGCAGCTCTATGTGCAGCACACAAATAGTGCTGCTGGTTCCAGAGGGTACTACTTAAAAAAGATGAAGAAAAAATTGAGAGAGTGCAGAGAAGAGTTATTAAAACTGTTTGAGGGCTGCTCTTCTAGCCAAGAGCTCTTAAAAGGCTCAGTCTGTTTAGCCTATCTGAAAGAAGAGTATCTTGATTACAATCTACAGATATATTTTGTTGGGAGAGAATAGCAGATATTAAAGGATTCTTATGGAAAGGTATAACAAGAGGTGGTACCTAGAAGTTGAGGCAGACAAACTGAAAATGGGAAATTAGAAACAATATTTTCAAAATGTGATTAACCATGGAAATGACAACATGCCCAACTGAGTATCTTCAAGTCAAGACCTGATGCTGTTCTGGGAAACACGGTTTAGCCAAAACAACTTTCTCATTCCAGTAGAAGGGTAATGAATGTAAATATGATATTAAAAAGTGACATCTGATGGTCTGACTGCTCCATTCTGAGCCTACTGGTCTCTGAAACTCCAACCTTAGTAAGGCTTAGTGAGTTCCCCAAGGAAAAATGTTTGGGCTGTGACTGCTTTTAGCTCTGTGTGTTCATATTTTTCACCAGAGTGGAGTTGCCTTTGGCTGATAAATCGGTTTCCTTCTCTGACAAGCTGTCAGTGTAATTCCAAAAGGCTCACTGGATCTACCATCTTTCTAGCAGCTGCATTTGTGGCTGTTTTTTTCTTTGGTTTCTGACATCAGCTTCTGGTTCTTTCTATTCTTCCTGATTTCTTTCCTAGCTACAGATTGTGATGATGGTGTTTACAAATAGCAGACTCTGTTCCAGAACCCTTAGCTCTACAGGAGGGTTTGGTCTATTATGGGTGGCCAGCAATACCATTGCATTCAATTATGATGCAGATTCCAAAACGTAGCCATACTTACTGGCTGTTGCTATACACCTTGTATAAACAGCTATGTTTGAAAAAGCTGGGCTCGTTTCCCCCCATCTCTTTCCTTGTTTGTATGTTGTTTTAAAAACAAGTTCCACAGGCAGACCAGAGGCTGGCTGCAGAAAGCAAATTGCAGCAGACTGAGGAAATTGGAAGCAACTGCCTTTGTGTTTGTTTATAATTGAATGAGTTCTACACATGAATGTTGTTTTGAGGCTTCTCTCTCTAACGAGCAATGCTGTAAGTAGAGCATTATGCTCCCACTCCCCATTGCCATTCCTTTGCTCTCCCCAGTCCTAAACCCCAGATTTTATTTTGGGTTTGGGGCTGACTGTGGTCCTTTCATAAGATCACAGGATAATTCAGATTTGTTTGCCAACATTTCATAGTACCAAGTCATGTGCGACGGGGTCTCTCCTCATTCAGCTCAGATGGGCATGACATCCAAGGACTGGTCATCAAGCTTTAAAAGGTCTGTGTGGGAATTGGGGGTATGTAAGTCTGAAGCTTTCATGATTGTATGTTGTAGAAACAAATGCTATTGGAAGTAGTACAGAGGAAGACACCAGAAGCCAAAAAGAGACAAGTACTGAGTGCAATGAAAGCTGAAAACAGAGAAGAGGCTGGAAGAAGTGGAAGAAAAAGAGTAGAAAGTGAAATGCCTGAACAAGGAAGCTGAAAAGTCTTCTGAAACATGCCATCTTCAACAAAAAGGAGTTTAGTTTTCACTAAATCGATGCCATTGTACCGAAGTGATGTACTTACTGAGTTTGAATCTGTTTGCTAATCATTGATCTAGTGTAACTGAGTAACCAGGTCCACTTTTACAATTTATCTCACTGTAAAAGGGATCAATTCAGAAACTGATTTGGCCAACTAAATACAACTTCTGTGTTTAGCACACCTGACACAGTGGGCTTTTTTTGGCTGTGAAAAGTGCAGGGCTTTTGTAGTGTAGCCTGCAGAACAAAATATTTTTGGCAACCACTTGATTAGACTTCAAGTAGATGAATCCATCTACTGACAACCTTGCTGCCACTTAAGTCTCTAGAATTTTCTCTAGACAAAGGTTTGTAAATGCATCTGAATGCCTCTCCTGTGCACCAAGCAAAGTATATTCTGTCTTCAATCTTCTAAAGCATCAAGGTGAAAGCATGGGCTGATAGTTTTCCAGACTCAGGATGACAAATGCCACTGTGCTGGGAGTAATTTCTCAGGGTGTGGGCATGTTTTCTAAACAAAACCATGAGAGAGACTTTCACGCAGCCAGAGCAGCGGGCGCAGACAGTAGACCACTGATTTTCTGTCTTTGATGGGGCTCTGAACTGTTCTGCTGTGTTTACAAAATAACCCTTCGAGAGATCAGAGATGTCAACAGCTGGATCAGCCTTTGAGGAGAGCAGAATGAAAATGGCAGCTGCAGTGTACAGGCCTTTATTGCCACACAGCAGTCCCAGCTGCAGCTAGCACCTACATGGTCATTAACGCTAACTAACTTTGTATTTAAACTTAGGAAATTACACAGTCTGTGGGAGAGATGTGGGAAGAGCTGCTGGTGTTCCCACATACCTCTGCCCTGAAAATGGAGGTAGGGTCTTGTCTAATTAGTTACATGCAGAGAATTGTGAGTAAAGGCCCCTGTATTGTTTCTGTCTTCCTCCAGTAATGCCTGAAATGCAGATTCCTATTAAACAATAATGAGAATTTGCACTGTTTGTGCTGTATTTTGTATTCAGAGGGATTATGGATATGTTTAGCAAAGCTGTGATTACAGATTATTTCAAGCAGCAAGAACTGATGGCCTCTCATTCACAAGAGCACATAGGGCAATAACATCTTTTTCCTTTAAATCTAGGCTCCTGCTTTGAGGCAGAGCTCTCAGATGATGAATTTTTGTTGCTGTCATTAATCATTTTACCATGTTTTACGTAAGAAGCTGGTTAACCCAAGAGTGCAGTTTAAAACGGGAGGACTTCCAGCAGGCTGATGAGCTGCAGTGTCAAGTTTATTATAACCTGGAAGCTGCAGTTTCCCAGGGGAATGTAACTGCAGGTAAAGACAGGTGGTGTGCTGTAACTCACTTTCTTGGGGAAATAAGTCTTAATGAGCAATGTGTCCATGTCTCCGAATCCCTCCTTAAGCTTTGATGCAATAGGAAACTTAAGCCAAGTAGGAAAGAGAAAATGTCCTCTGTAATGAAAGCATTTAGGTAGAGGAGAAAGTCTGACTTTTCCTCAAGCTGTTTTAAGTCAACTCAAAAGCCGTATGGCTTCTTGCACCACAGCTGCTCAAGCAGCACAGGAAACACTGACTTCCAAGTTAGTAACTTCAAACCATAACTTGTGTTGTCTTTTGCACTGTAGGGATGTAATGGGGAAATATGAAGGGAGCTGCATTCAGGGGAGGAGGCAATTAAAGGAAACAAAGGATCCCAAGTTGCAGGACATCAGGTATTATTAATGGTTTTGGAACACCTTAATTACAGATTATGTGGGGAAACCAAGCAAGACTGTGCCCTTGTAATTTGCCTAGGTGCATGCCTATGACTGCAGGTATTTTTTTTAGAGGATCTCCTAGCAGCAGTGAGAGCTTTCTAGCCCTTAATTGAATTAACCCAGAACTTAAACATTTAGCAAAAATCTTTCATCTCAGATGTTTGTTAGGTAACTTTTTAACACGATGCTTACATAATTCATGTAGCTTAAAAAAGCTTGATTAGGGATTTCTATTCCTACCTGCCTTAAGCTGCTGCTTCTCTCTCTGTGTTACCAAATCCTACTGTCAGTCTGACAAACACATGCAAGAAAAATTGATGGGTGATATATAAATTCCTAGTAAATGGAATAAACATGAAAACTCCAATGGTCTTTCAAGGTGCCATGAAGAATATAAAGCATTACAAATTTAATTATAGTTTCCTTCTGCAGGAAAATGTTAGTTATTCCTGCCACAGGAAACTGGGAAATGCTCATTAGCACACTGCTGAAGACAAGACATGAATCAAACACGGGGAAATAAAGAACAGGGAAGTATCTTTAATTAATGCACAAATATACTTGGCTTCTCTTTCTTTAAGCCAATAAAGTTCAGGGGAAAAGTTGGTGCAAAACTTTTAAGTGACATTGATGCTACTATGCACAAGGAAAGCAGCTGTGACAGAAAGGAGATCATTCTTTTTCCCCCCTGCAATGAGCTACCATTGTAAAGCACGGTGCAGAGCTGGAAAAAATGGCTGAGGAGCTTGGATTTCTCTATGCTTAACACAGAAACTCCATTGAACTATATAAACAGCTGGTCTGAAAAGTGTTAGAACTCTGTATTGTGATTCTTTTTATTCCCGTGTTTGTAACAATAGATGGATGCTGTGAAGGTTTGGTGGTATTTTATTTTTGTTTTTCCTTCAGAAAGGTGAAAGGAAGACTGCAGAGCTGTTGGTCTATAGTACAAGCAGTACAAGAAGTGATTTTCCTGGTAATAAGTCAATATTAAATAGGTGTAAGTTTTGATGCATTAACACTAGCACTTCTCATACAGCAGTCCAGACTTGTATCATGTAAAGATTTGTCTTATCTATTCATCTGAGTTGCACTGTACCTGACTTCAGACCTATCTGTGTCAGGGTGGCAACTGTTACTTGCAATAGCCCTGGTTTGACTGTAAAGGAGAAGGTCATTTTGAAACAGGTCACGTCAACTCCAGGAATTGTCCACAGACTGACTTCAGACAGTTTGTAACTGCTGTAGATTAGAAGTTTGAGCCATGTCTTCTATCTTTTTCTCTATTCCTTCTTCTCTATTCTCACATCTTTCTCTTCTTCCCTCTCTAATAACGCGCTAGGCCATGGCCTGGCTCAGTTGCTGCACTTCTTCTGGATTTCATGTGACACTTGCATAGCCACCCTCTTAAGCCCCTGCTTCAGGATTCATGGATGCTGAACAGATCGTGACCAGACTGGGTAGTTCTGCGCTCCAGGCAGCTGCCAGCTGCTCTCCTTGCTGCTTTAGCAGAAGGCCTGAGTCCCTTGGACATCCACCCTGAAATAATGCCAGAAACAGCAAAGCAATGTGGTCTGAAACGTCTTTTATCATACCTGGGAAGGAAGAGGAACACTGTCTCAATTAACAAGTCCAAGATTACAGCTACACAGCAAAACCACCCTCACCTCCTTGCCCAAAGTTGGTGGGAAAGGTTAACGTAGGTTTAAGAAGTGGTATAGCAACACCACATTGTACATAGCTACAAATCGGGGTTGAATCACATTACAGCCAATAGGAAGCATAGCATTTGATACAATCAGGATTGCTTTAGTGGCTGAAGGTTTAGCATTAAGTGGCTGCATCTCTGCTTTTCAGAAATCTACAGAGATAAAGACTGGAATTCACTAGGGAATTTAGTGTCACTGGGAACAGATGGTTAACGCCCATCCACACACACCTTTTAATCTTGGCTTTCAACAGGACCTGGAAAGACAGAGTTGGGGGGAAAATAATCGCATATAATGAAGTAGACTTGGTGGAGCAAGAAGTTTCTGCTTCCCTGAGATGTCTCCTGCTGGAAGAATAAATGCTGATACACTTATCACTATGAATGAAAAGGAAATGGTATGAGCTGTAAAAATTGCAGATAGTTGCAAATAGGCTTTGTTCTAATTTGTGTCAAGGTCATCCATGAGCTGCTTTTCCCAGACTAAGCAATTTATTATTCTATCAGTACTATGCAGTGTTCTCTGTGTGTTTGGTTTTTCATTGGGGTAGTTTGGGTTTTCTTCTACCTTAACATTCTTCTTAGAGGTCATAAACAAGAGCTTCTGCATTTACTTGAGTTCTGCTTTAACTCTGTGTTGTTGATAACACAGTATGCTCTGTCACTCAAGTCCAGGGCAACAAGCTTGCAGCATCCACTCAACATGGGGATTACCAGCAGCAACAGAAGAGGAAAAACAAACATTCAAAGACTGCAGACAGCAATGGCATTGGTAATAAGCTGGTATGGTTGCAAAATGAGCAAATTCTTCACTGGTTTGCAAGCTGTGATTTGTACATATATCCAGGCAGGTTTCATCTGGACAATACAGCAAACCTTTCTTGAGATTTAAGAGCAAGGTGAAAAGCAGGTATGACTCCCAAGTGTTCAAAAAATCAACTAAGAAAATCAGGCAGGAGGAGCTATTCAGTTAGGGAAGATCTGGAAAAGACTCTTCTTTCTGAGTACCATGCCATGGTTGGTAACTATTCTTAATGTTACCTATGCTTTCAGGCGCCTAGCAGATGGAAGGAAAGAATGGCAGATAGGCTATCACCACACCTAAATGAAAAGTCTTTTCCTGCTGTCTTCGTAGAAAAAAAGGCTGGTCTGGAAGTAAACCCACATGTATTTTTAATCAGTCCAGAGCATTTTAGAAAATGCCACTGAACTGGCAAGCTTGAAGAAAAACATTTTATATACAATTAAGAGAGGCAGGAATATTCCAGTGCTGCGTCATATGTACTTCAACATATTTGGATGAAGTGTTCAATACCAACTCCTATCAGGTTACTTGACAATCCATTTTAAGCACTGGGTGATGCAGATCCTCTTCTGAGTAAGAGCAGCACTGCATGGCTTCCTGCAGACAACGTACCACACTACAGGAAGGGCAGCAGTTGGAACTAAAAGGCTTCCTTTTATTGTGGTAACCTTACAACATGGTGGTGCAAAGCACAGCTAAGTGCTTAGAGGAAAAGCATGGGGTCTGGTGGGTTTTGGTTTGTTTTTTAAAACTGCTTTCCAATTGCATCCCCCAACCACCACACCCTGCCCGATGCAGTGCCCTCACCCCCAGAGGTTGCTGCCTGTACACTGAATCTTTGATGCCTGTTTGAAGATGACTCATCAAAAGTACCAATCTGCACCTTCCCCAGCATCTTCTCTCCCCTCCCTCTAGAAAAGGGAAGGGCAACTCTGTGCTCAGTACTACACTAAGTAGGAGGAAAATAAAAAATAAATAAAATAAAAAAAACAAAACCTAACCATGTGCGCCTCTCTCTTGCATGGAAAAAAAATCCTCCTTTTATAGCCCAGCCATTAAAGGACTCAAAGGTGTCTGTCAGAGATGTGTCCAAATGTATTGCAGCTTTTGATGTGTTAAAATACCAGCTCTGTGCCTTTTAGCATCATCCACATACCTGTGAGCACTGAATAATCAAATACGTCAGTACTTGTTTTATAAATAACTTAAGAACTTAGATTAAATTCAGGCAACCTTTAACAGCATTGCACTGGTTAAACACTGAATAAAGAACTTCAGTTAGAAATGCTGTAGTATTTAGAGACTAGGGATTTCTAGAATAAGATTAACATCCTTCATTACTGAAACAAGCTTTATTTCATTTATGCTTGCTGCTACATCAAACCAGGTCACAATATGCTCAGAATGCTGTGGAATCAGTTATCAAATAACATTCATTTTAAGGTATGCTTTAAATGAAGGACAAGGTGACTGATGACTATCCAAGGTCAGCTGTCATTAGAGAAGCCATCAAATGTTATTCTAGCACATTCCAGGAACCAGATGCCAATTTGGAAGTAGAACAATATCATCAGTATGAAGCACTTCTGTACCATGGCAGCAGTAAAAAGGGCTCTCTCCAGCTAATTACAGCTTCTTGATAAAATACTTCAAATAGTGCTCCACTTAATGCAGCAAAATTCAAAGATGATTTCTGAATGAATGCTGTACCTACAGAAGACTGCCTTCAAAGAACAGCAGTAACATCAAGACTGGTACTATAGGGATAAACAATTGTGCAGAGGCTTCCAGTGCTGCACTGTAACAAAAATATAACTAAATCCTTGACTGTATGTAGTAAATGGATGCTTTTCTGGAAGGCACAGCAATTTTAAGCACATCAGGTTTCCTCTATTTCCATACAGCTTTTCCCAAAACACTACTGGGATTTTTGCAGCTTCCTGTATGAGACCAAGTTATGTCAATACTACTTAGTGACACATTCACTGCCCACAAAAGTGTCAAAGCCTTGATGTAAAGCTATTGAGGTCAGCTCACCCAGAGCCAGTTATTACAGTCTGTCTGTAACTACAGAATTGTGCTTGGTCTGTTCTCTTCAAGCATAGTTACTCCCGAGCAAATATCCTCTTTCTCATGCCATCAGGAAAGAAATAAGGCTCAGAGCAATACCTTTTTCATTAAGGTCAAAGATCTTAATGTGAAAAGATGCTAAAATGTAGGGGCTATTTACAGCCTCCCTGGAACAACAGTCCCTCTTCCACCTTACAAGCTGACATCCAGTATTATTACAAGGTCTGCTATTGGAAAGAGGAGAATTAAGCCTTACAAGTTGCCGCAACTGGAACACTTAAATGCCTTGCTGTTTGGCTTTCAGGGGAAAACAAGGTTAAACATGGAAAATATGGACTACAGAATTCTTTTGGAGACCATTCTAAATCTAAATCAGTATTGTTGCATGTAACAAACGCAGAGTTAATACTGTACTTAGGAGAGCTAACAATTCTTCAACCTTTCATTCTTCCTCTTTCCCTAGTGTTCCTCAGTTTCTATGGAAAATGGCTCTTATCTCCAAAAAGTCAGTAGACAATTCCCTCTGGGACCGCTCAAATTAAACTTTACAAGAAAAATTCCGTTCAACAGATTTTTATTTATCAATTTGGTTTTGTGATTATAACTGTTTCAGTTTTCTTCCACTGAAGACAAAATACAAACTTTTACAGCAACACTTGCAGAAAACATTCATAACAGCTTGATATTTCCACAAGTTGGCTTCAAGAAAAAGCCAGATAACTTGAAGAGTCACTACAGTTCAGTGCCTAAAATTCATGTAGGGGCAAATACAACTACAGATCTATGAGCTACCTTCCACTTCAAAACACAAGGCCAAGAAAAACTGCAAGTTGTTACCTCAGGTTTTTTTGCTAGTACACAGCACGGATCAGCCCATACTGATGTTTCACAAAGGAGTAATTACTAATCATAGTGAGGCAGCCAAGCACATGGTGAAGATGTATAACCCAGCCCCCCCTCCCCCCAAACAACCAAAAGGGAAACAATCCTATCCAGAACTCTGTAAACTGGGGATCATACTTTGTTGGCAAGGCTAACAAGCAAGTGGTGCATAGGGCAGGCCTTCCAGAACACGACTGAATAAATACCGTACAAGCTTGAGTTTTTCAGATTGGCATCTGTACATGTCAGAGATCCTGGGTTTCCTACAGTCTTGGAAAGTAGCAATTGCTGGCACCAAGAAAAAATTAGTAACTAAGGCAAGGTATCCCTTCTACCCTTTTAAACAAAATTTCAGGCAAAAGATTAAGGAACTTTAAGGCACTTTAAAAATTATTTTTAGTTTGCTTAACCAGCAGACTTTATCAGCAACCTAAATCAGGGTCAGCCTAGCTCATGATTAAGCATTTTAGCAGTATTTTATAATGTCTTCCATGCCATGAAGTGTTCTGTAGCAATTTTCTGCAAGTTTCCCAGAAGATAGCCCTTTGAGGCCTCTAAAAATTATGTACTAGGCATAGAGTTTGCTTCGCTGAGCCGAAGAAGAACTATCACAATTTAGCAGGTTATTTTGCTCACTGCAAAGCAGAGAATACAAGCTCATGGATATCTTTTTAAACAAATAAATGTAGTAGAACAGTTCTGAGATAAGGAAAGGACAGATTAAGTGATTTCACAGTAAGGCCAAGGATATACCATCTAACCCACACACATACTGTTGCTGGAAACTGGCTGCTCACTCTGCTGTTTTAATAAACCTGAGCTGATTGTCTTAGTTTTGTTTAGAAAAATCAAAAGCTAATAAACTCAAAGATACAGTACTGGTGAGTAACTTTGTAGCAATTTCAGTTTTCTATGCAGCACAACAGAAACAACGCCATTTGAACTAGAAGAACAAAAGAAAGCAACACTGTGCACTTTAGTTTCCAACTGAAGTGCACTTAATTTGCTTCATATTTAAGCTCCACTGCCATGACTATTATCTGCATTAATGCGTCATTTTCTACTGGGTGCCAAATTCCAGCCAAGTCGGAGCTATCAACAGTACTACAGGTTATCCTGAAATTGATGATCAAAGTATATCATCAAAAACTACTATTATGTGCTACATCCACCACCTGAATTTCATCCTTACTTCCATTCTTCCTGTGGGTTTACTTTCACAAATGCTCAAGTCACTGGAAAGGACGTACCTTTGATACTCAGATCACACTGGCTGATCCAGCCAAGGGAAAAAAAAAAATACATACTATTTGGCCAAATAGATTTCCTTAACCAGCTCACTGGAGGGTGACACCAACCCCATGCCAGGAAGGGTGGAGGGGGAAAGTAAAAAGGTGTAGCCCTGGCAATCCCAGGACTACAGCAATCCTGACTAGGATCAAATTAGCAGATCCTCTGCATTACGCTTAACTGCTCCTCCAGCAGGCAGACATACCGGAGGGTAAAAAGAAACAAACCACCCAAACCTTGAAATCAATCGCCATCAGTCCAGGAACTGTTTGAATAAGAAAGTTCCCAGGATTTTCAAAACACCAGTATTTCAAGTATAAATCTAAGTTGTTACCTTTTTATACAGGGAGTGAACTGAATTTTATCACTAGTTTTATGGTTTGTAAGCCAGAACAAAAAGTAAACAAAGTTTCTGTCTGTAGGTGAACGTTACTGTACCGTGCTTCTCCACCCTCACAAGGTCAATAGGGGACAGCTACTTAGTGTAAAAATTTTTTAAACTGGAATGCTCAAGTCCCATGTATTCCATTATCCTAATTTAAGCTAGTATTTAATAGCTTTATCTGTCTTTGAAATAAGTGGGACATTTTTGCAGCCTTTTGTTTACTCTTTTAAGGCACTAATCTTCATTTCCCCTTTAAAAGGATTATCCTTACATGCCCTCTCCACCTGCAACATTAACTGAAAAGGGTGTAGGATATGTTTGGAATGCAGTTTTTAACAGGCAACCTTTATTCTTGTGTATAAAAAAAAGGAAAAAAGTTATGTGATTCTGTTAAGACATCATCTACTTCTACAATTTAGTTTATCTTTCTAGCAGTACGCTTTAAGAGCCATACGCTAGTATAAATGGTATTTCACTCCCTGAAGTCAGTCACCAGTAATTCACATCTTGACAAAGCTGAAGGGATACTGTATCAAATGTTGATTAAATTAGCCTTCACAAGATTATCTACTCAAGACAGTGTTGCCACTGAATAAGAATCTCTGAATGTCTACATTTGGCATATCAAAAAAAAAAAGTCCCACAGCAGCAGCCACTAAAGGAAAATAAGACAGCCATTAGAACCCATGCAGCATATTCCAAGTACTCCTGTTGAAGAGACTAATGTCACATCTTGCCAAGTATAATGTTGCAAAAATATTCTTTTAAAGTCTTCTTTTAGAGATTTAAAGGATATTATGAACTGCTGTCTTCCATGAGCAACAGAAAATATTTTGGTTCAGTGAACTACAGGTGTTGGGCTACAAGTCTATTACAAAGTGGCAGGTCCTAAAGTGTGTGGTAGTTACGGTCTTTTGACTTGCAGAATTTGTACAAAAAGAAAACAACAGCCTGCAGACCCAGAACAAGGACAATTCCACCTATGAAACTTGCAGCATCAAAAGTAGATTTGCGTGGAGAAGGTGCAGGAGTCACAGTAGCATTTGTACCTGTTAAATACGACATTAAGAGTTTGTAAGTGCACAATGCTCACAATAGTCTTCCAGGTTCTAGTACTGGCTTTCTGGTATCAAGATTACTCACTGTATCAAATACCAATAAGGAAACAAACAAAAAATAAATAAAAAAGACATGTAAGCAGCTGCATTTAGAACGGTGATACTGAAATTCTGATTAAATACTGTTTGTAAAAGGTTAGAGCTATTTATAGCTGCACTGCTCTGGACCTCAATACTGAGCAAGTCCCA